ATAATTGCTAGTAAATTATATGATGAACCCATGCACGTTTGCTTTATCCTCTTACGCTTAGCATTGATCAGAGTGTGCTGTGAATATTAATAACAATCTTCCTCTTTTCAATAGGTGTTATGAAAATTCACAACAATCAGAGAGACTTGGTCGACTTTGACAAATCGAGTTAGGTGGGTGCGTGGTTGTGAATTAACCAGCAAAGAGAGATGAACAAGTAAAAAATAAGAGATAAATGGACGAAAGTGAATAGAAGCAAAATAGAATTTTTAAAGAGACGATCGGTGATTCCAAGCCATGTCCTCTGTTATGTATTGCATTGGGTGTATTTCCCTTTGATTACAGATTACAAATAGTTTCTTTTTTTCTCTCAAGGAGATATGTGTGTAGAAGAAGAAGATCTCTCTGCCCAAGGGAGCTTACATGAATGGAAAAGAGAGTGAGTCCGAGAGGCCCCTTGTTCGGATGGAAGTAGCTTATATAGGCTATAACAGTAGAAAACTTATAATTGAAGTTAACTTGTTGTCAGCCTTTAACTGTGGGCAATGTTTAACTGAGAGTAGTGCTTAAATTGCAAGTGGGTGCACAACGAGGTGAATCCTCGGGTTGTTTTCTCCTTTTGAAATGGAAGTGGCTTCCCTTCCGCGTTTCCATTAGATAGTGGTTGGGAGTTGGTGATTATGAGGGAATTTGCACACATAATCCTTCATAACTTTGAGTCAGCCTTTTACCCATACTAAGCCAGAAGATCATTAGGATAGGGTAATTATTAAGCCAAAACAATTATGCCTTAAATTGGAACTTATTGGTTAAGCACTTGCCATGGGAGTGATACGTGAGACAATCTGGTTGCTGGGTTTGGCTTGCTTAAAGGACAGGTGGACGAATCTGACGGCCCAGAGAAATTGTGAGACATTTTCCTAATTGGGACATGTCTATTATCAAAAGGTTTGTACTGAAGTTTGAGATAAATGAAAGGATAAGGAAGAGTGGGAGTGGAGTTATAGATGATGAGAGTTTATGTGTTAACTGTCGATATTACCCTCGTTGATTGGAAAAGGGAGAGAGGCTGGCAAAAAAGTGATTTGAGAGGTACATTTTGAGTATCGTACTACCGACTACGGACCTCTGGCACTAGACCAAATGAGCAACTAGTTGGTGCTAAACAAAATCAGGTCCGTTTGGTTCACGCGAAAATTAGGGAAATCTTTAAGAAAATATGTTTAGTTAATTAGTGAGTATATTATATTAATATATTTAGTTGAAATAAATAAATTAGTAAGTATGTTTTTAAATTATTAAATTACTCTCTTTTTAAAATTAATGTAATATTAATTTTATTATTAATTTTTGAATAATTTTTTAACTGCCAATATTTAAGATTTAGCTAAAACACCCTACTTATATAAAACTTTAATTTATAAGAAAATCACCCCCACCATCCCAAGCCACTGCTCACCACCACCATCTGCAGCCGGAAGTTGCCTGGAGTCGCAATGAGTAGCTCACCGTCACCGAGAGGCTCCTATATGGCCATTTCCGACGAGATTGATGAATTTAGTTGTTAATGGCCTTTATCGGCCATATTTGGATGAGATATGGCCGTTAACGGTCAGATCCATCCATCTCGCCGAAAATTACCAAAATAGATATGGCCGTTTCCGGCCATATTGTTTGGCCATTTCCAGCCATCAGTATGGCCAGAAACGGCTATATCAGAGCCTCCTTGTGTCTCACGGCGACTTCTGACGGTGGTTTGGCTGGCGATAGATGGGTGGGGGTGGTGGCTTGGGTGGGTTGCAATTTGTTTTCAATTCAAGGGTAATTTTGTCCAAAAAGTTAATTGGGGTGAAATAGCAAAGCTAGATTCATGCAAATTAATTTAAAAATAAGGGTATTATTGTTCTAAAATTTTATTAATAAGGGATATAATTGTAACAAAAATAAGATTACCTTGGTAATCTTACAATGCCTAAGAAAATAGAGGTTATTAGATTACCTCCAATATTACCAACATTAACTACTATTGGTATTGAAAGATTACCGGAATCTTATATTACTTGACAACCAAACATGACAATTAAGTAATATTTGATGACATAACCCCATTAATCTCATATAACCTCCAAGCAAACGCCTTCTTAGAGTAAGGGTCTGCTTGGGAGTTTTTTTTTCATTAGTTTTGGGAGGTTTTTAATTAGACCGGTTTTGAGGTGTTTAAAAACCCCCACTTGCCAGATTTTTAATAGGTTGGTTTTGACTGGTTTAAAAACCTCCCAAAATCAGTATAGTGTATTTTTGCGAGGTTTATAAAACACTCCAAATTGAGGTGTTTTGACTGATTTAAAACTTTTATCCCAAAAAAAACCCTTTTCACTCTCTTTGCTGCACACATATCTCTCGCTACTGTTGACTTCTCTCTAGCACACAAATCCTTTCAATAATTTCTTTCTCAAAAAATCCTTTCAATAATAATAATGTATTAACTATTACGTCTTCTCAAAACCTGAAAAGAAAAAGTTGTCAATTCACCAGCTATTTAAAAACCACCATTTTCAATGCCTCTCAAGCAAACTGTGTCCAGTATTTGACCGCAATCTGTTTCTGCCATTTAACTTAATTTACAATCTTTCCTTTCTCTTCAAATTTTATTTGCTTGTTATTATTCTTCACAGGAGTCAAAACTATGTCCAGCATTCCAATTTGATAATTATAGCGTCTTCTACTCTTACTAAATTGGATAACCATGACACAGACTAATGATAATGGAAGTAAAACCCAAAACCAGGTGTTAAATAAGAAACATAAGTACAACTTTGTAAAGACACCTTTTTCACAAGACTGAGTAGCTAAAACCATGCAAGTCAAATTTATAACTTCAAAGTTAATTAAGCAAAAGAGAAAGTGTTTTAACTTTATTGGCATTTATGTAAATTTATCATTTAAAAAAACTGTCAGAACCGTTGGAAAATAAATTCTCAAGCACAGGTTGGGTGTTTTAAAAACTGCTACTAAAAACCCCTCAAAACCGCTACGGTGGTTTACCCTCAAAACCGCTACGATGGTTTGCCCTCATAACCGCTACCATAAAACTCCCAAGCAGACCCTAAACGACTTTTTACCACCCAAGTAATTGCTTAATGACACTTTCCTACCCATAGGCTTTTAAAATACTACTTTATTACCCAAATTTATATTCCGTTTCCAATTTCGAGATCGTTGCGACCCCACACCACAACCATTCTCTTCCTCGATCATCACTCACCAAAACCCCTCAAACACTACTCTTGTCAATCCCACAATTGCTGGCAATCGAACGATTAGGGTTTGCATAGCCGCCCCTCCCAAGTCAAATCCTGATTAATCTCAATCACCAAAATCCAACCTTTCACCTCCAAAAGACTCATCGGCCTCCTCTCTTCAAAAGCCCTAATAGCTTGGACTGAGTTTGCTCTCTATTCACCGTCGGAATATAAATTTGGGTAGTAAAATAGTATTTTAAAAGTCTATGGGTGAGAAAGTGTCATTAAACTATTATTTGCGTGGGAAAAAGTTGTTAACTCTTAGATTAATTTATAAAATAATAAAGGATGAAATATAAAAGATAACCACAATATTTTAAAAGTATTACATATTCATAATAAGGGGTTTTTAATTAGAGTAATACTACGTTTACATCACTCTTTTACACCATATTCATTATATCATGATGTAGCATATGTCACAACCACACGAATTTTTAATTATTTTTAATTTTTAATATTATAATAAAATTTGTGTGGTTGTGACATATACCACATTATGATGTAATGAAAATGGTGTAAAAAAGTGATGTAAATATAACATTACTCTTTTAATTATTTTTTCCAGGGATAAATGATAATAGACGGAAGTGTACAATAAGTTTTCAAAATTGGATTGACAATTTGGTTGGATATAATAATATTTTAGTTATTTATATTGAGAGTAAACGACTTTTTCCCACCCAAAGTTTGCCTTGATGACTATTTTTCACTTAAAAAGTTTCAAAATACCACTTTCCCACCTAAAGTTTATGTTTCGTTAATACCTAAAATATATTTTACTTTCTCAACCGGAGTTCGGCGAGTTAACAAAAGCTAGGGTAAGAGGAGTTTTGTTGAGTGAAGGTCGGTGGATCGAATGGTGGCGATCGATTGAATATTCGCCGTTGGAATCAACTGAAAATCAGTTAAGAACAAGAAACTCTAGTTTTGCGGTGGCCGATAATCGGCGAGAATTCAAATGCCAGAGTGAGAGAGGTTTTGTAAAGAGGAGACTAAAGGTTGAAATGGTGGTGACAGAGAGAACTTTCACTGTCCGAATCGGCTTTAGGTAGTAATGTAATATTAACTTTGGGTAGGAAAGTGATATTTTAAAACTTTTTAAGTGGGAAAGGTCATTAAGGCAAACCTTGGGTGGGACAAAGTCGTTTACTCTTTATATTGATATCAAAATCATTTATCATAGCAAACAACTTTGAGTTCATCATCAAAATAGAGATCCAATAATGTCCCGACTAAAACCATGAAACCATAATCTTGTTACTCTACCCCGTTGAGCATCACATGGTGAAGTTAAAAAGCTTTGTCCTGCATGGTATGACTTTGCTATCATACAAGTTCGGTAAATGGGACACGACTCCAGCACTCTTTTACCAAATTTTGTAACAAATTACAAAACACAGGTTGATTTTTTATTGAAATGTAACCAAAACAATGTCTCTTTAACATCTCTTCCTGTCCACCTGTAAATGATCCTAGAATTTTTATTAGATAATGTAATGACAGTTCTCTTAAATTATCAACAAGGATACGATTTCGTATACAATATATTCTCTGATGAATACAAGTGATTATATCATATAAGATCAAATGTATCCCAAATCCTACTTCTATCAATGTTACAACATGAATATTACAGAATTAAATCAGAAAACATCAATAACCTTCCACTTGCCATTTGCCATACCCGTGAGTAGTCTCCTACCATCTTCGGCGCCTCCTCCCATACCAATATGCAAATGCAGCCACGGATGCAGCAAGAATAACACCAGCTGTTGCATGCCAAGGATATAAGGCTTTCTCTAAAACAAGGCCAGAACTCTGATTTACCACAGCAGGAGGTGGTGACTGCACTGCTTCCCGACTAACTGCCAAAGCAAAACCCAAACCTTGCCTCTCCAGCTCGGCTAAATCTTCAATTGCTGGCTTCAAGCTTGTGGCTTTGGCTATAGCTTCATACTCTTCTTTCGTTCCACCTTCAAGAAAAGATCCAACAAGATGACCCTTACTCACCCAGTAAGCACCAAATGTATTTCCTGAGAAATCCCCATAATGGACTACTTCCCCAGCGTTGTCCCCATAAAATTGCCAAGACAACGCAAAGACTCTAGAGTAGAAGAATGGCAGGTAGTTGAATTCGCCTGTTTTGTCTGGTTCCATAATTGCGGAAACAGCATGTCTTGCGGATTTTCGAGCAGAGTCAACATGCTCAAGCCTTCGGATTTCACCAAATATTTTGAGTGGAAATGCCGCAACATCGCCAACTGCATAAATTGAGCTGTTGCTTGATTGCAATCGTCCATTTACTTTAATCCCACCCTTCTCCAAAGTTAGTTGACCTTCAAAAAGGCTTGTGTTTGGACGTATTCCAATCCCTACTACAACCATGTCTGCAGGCAATCGACTTCCATCCCTAAGATTAACAGCTACAACCTGTGTATCAGTTTGTCAGCAAAACTTAGTGATCATTATGAATTTACAGCAGCTAAAGGAACAAAAAAATAAATATTCTCCAGATATTAAAGCAACAAAAGATTTACCTTCCCATTGGAGTCGATGTCAAATGATGACAAGACAGTTCCTTTAATGAACTTCACCCCTTTAGATGTGTAATAATCTTCATAATAACTTGCAATCTTGGGTGTAAATAGCCGGGCCACTACAAAAAACCCAAGAGCAATACCAAAACTGATAAATACCTTCGCTAACAAAGAATTTTGATTTGATTCTACAAAATGTTCAAACATCTGTTCTAAATTTGTAAACTATCAGAGCAGGAATACTTACTGCAATGTGCTTCTGGAAAAACCATGGTTACATTTATTTTATTGATCACCAGAGATGCAGCACACTCCATTCCTATGTAGCCACCACCAATGACAACAGCATTCCCACCAACAGAAGATTGCATGACATCTGCAATCCTGTTTGCATCAGCTAAATCTCGTAAATAACACACGTTTTCAGCATCTGATCCACTCACACCAAATTCCTCAAGCTTCAGAGCCTAAATTTGATTTCAGGGCACACAAAGTCAAATCCACAGTCACTTCTAAGTCATACAAATTCAGTAAAATTCCTATGTTTAAACCAATTCAAGTCTCAACTACATGATAATATCTCAATATAACTTAAACGTTTCAAAAAAGATCTAAACTCGCTTAAAAAAAAAAAAAAAAAAAAAATCCATTAACGAATATGATTTTCTTTTTGAAGGAAATGATTTTGCGATCAACTACAACTGAAGGTAACTGAATATTAATACTGCCTTCATTTTATATAATTCAAAATTCATTTAACAATAAAAAACAAGATCAACTGACCATCTAAAAGCAATAAAGGTCATCAGTTATTTAAAGATTAGTTTCAATACCCGAGCACCTGTTGCAACGATGAGGATCTTGTAACTTATAGTCTCTCCAGCTGCAGTTAATAATGTCTGACGCCTCACATCGGCAGACTTAACTCTAGTTCCAAGAACCAACTCAATTCCTAGAAAATTATGCCATTTCAAAAAATGAATAATCAAATTGAGAAAAGGCATAATGGATAAATATGAGCTCTTTACTAGAGTAGACATACATTATCAATCTTGAATATAAGGACACAATTGCAATTGATAAACAAATTAAAGAGTAAAACTGCAGTGAGAATGTCAGCTATTATTATTTCTGAATAAGATCTACCAACAACTAAGTACAACGAAAATGCATATGTAGCAATGCAGTAATTTTGCTACTGTCATTTTAACTTTCTGGGTGTAGATGCATTTATAACTAAGCCAATTTAAACACAGTCTATCATAAGAGTGAGGTAAATTTAATGAAATCATAAATTTTTTCACATCTACCCAAGTGGCTTTTAATCTTGTATTAGAGATAAATATAATGTCTTTTACTAGAAGACAGGAGCCTTCATTCTAAACTGTTCTGGTAAAGTCAACAAAGTAAGGCCAAATTTCACAAGGAGTTAAGAGATTCTTAAATATACATTTTTTTGCAGCAATAGTTCTCGAAAAAACCTTATATAAATTGTTTTTAAAGCTGATAACAAATATACGAATAAGTAAACAGGGAGATTATTAATGAGGCACCAAGTTAACTTGCAGAATGAAGAAATATAAGTTCTTCATGTAATACATAGCCGACAGTCAAAACCACTAATTTATGTTTCCATTAGAGGACTTAACCACTAATGTATTCTAGAAAGGAATGCTGCCATCCATTACTCTAAAGTTTCAAGTTGACACAACCATAAATGAGTCAATAATTACCATGTTCCTTGTACCATTTTGGAGTTAACCTTTCCTCATTAGCACCAACACAAGTGTGAAATGATGGAAGGCGTGCAGCAGCTGTAGAATACCAGAAGTTAAAAGTAATTAGATCACATGTAATGTCAAAATCTAGTAGAAAGAAAGGGTAAAAGGCTTAAAGCACAAAATGAATTGTCTGGATCACTTTCTTCATAGAGGTTGAGAACATCAATGTTTTGTATCAGGAAACAAATTAATATACATGTTTTTGGTTCCCATCAAGAGAACATGAGCACATTAGTCCATACCTCTCTCTATTCACTCTAAACTTTCAAACTTTTGTTGCTGAACATTCAGGTAATATTTTTCTACTTCTATATGTAAGAATAAGACCAGCAAATTTAAGACATGCATATACACATATTCTACAGATTAGAGTGAATAACTAAACATGGAAATAAAAATCAATAGAACCTGTGCTGATAAATAAAGGCATAACAGCCATGAGGCATTTCTGAATGCCCTGAGGAAATAAATTGTCTCAATGTGTACGAATGACACTGTCAAAAGATTTCAGTTTTGAAAAGAGATGCCTTGGAAAACCCTATAAAACAAATCTCAGGGGCAAACAATCTCAAAATCCAATGTCTTCAAGGCCACAATTCAATAGCACAAGCCTTAAAAAAACCTCAAAGAATGTGCCATTAAAGGACTTAATATAAGGGTGTTGCAAAAATATCACAAGCAACTGATCCAGTGATTCTGAGACTACAGGGTGCTATTGCCAATGCCATTCATTAAAATTTAAATTAATCTCAACAGAACCTCTATCTTTCCTAATGAGAAACATCAAATACACGCAACATAAATATTAATCAAACACCCAGTTGAGGAGTTTAAGGATGAAAATACATACACTCTGGAAGTAAATAACCTTTACTTAACGCAGGTCTCTCATAAGGCGCAACCTGAAAGAAATGCAGCAAAATTTATCAATCTAAGTTTATGCACATAAACTATCATTTTGTATCTCACAGACAACAATTTCATAAGCTTCCAACTCCAACCCCATTTCGTTTCCCTTCCCAAGCCTTATCTCTACACTAATCCCAAACGAACATTCTATCAAAATTCCGTTGGGCAAGATTACATTTCTTAAAAGCCTTAAAATATATAACAAAACATGGTTTTCTAATAAAAAGTAACAAACTATGCAATTCTCTATTCTAGTTTAAAATCTTTATGAAGTTTAGCGCGAAACATTAAAAAGGAATTCTTCCAAAATATTCAAAGCAACACCCTAACTTGAAGAGATAATAAAAAACACACCTTTGGTCAACCAACAACCATATAGGTAACACAGAAACTTATTTACACGTTCATAATCCTGAAAAAGACTATACATATCAACCCCAAAATAAACCCATAACAGATAAACTGAAGTTTCAGTCCTGAACAATTTTTCACTAGAGAGATGGAATTCCAATAACATATTAAAAACGAAATACCGAAAGACCTTAAACATATGAAGAAAATACGCATATGGGTATTAAAAAAAGAGAAGAAACAAAAAATAAAAAGACTCACAGGTTCTTGAGAAATGATGCAGAGTTCACCAGGAGCAACTCCTCGCTTTGTGAATTCAAGAGCTGCATATCCGGCTGCTACTCCTCCTCCAAGAATCACATACACAAACGCTCTTCCCATTCTCTGAATAGCCTTTCTTCCTCTGAATAATCTTCCTTATTCTTCTTATATATAACTTTGCTTTCAAACAATTGAGTTTCCCAATAACAAATGGACATCATCAGCTTTCAATCTCATACTCCGTTTTTTTTTTCAAGTGGGGTTGAAGGCTGATGATGATTGGAAAACGTTTTTACGATTTTGCCCCCTTTGACTTCTCTGCTTCTCCCGTATGATGCGTCTCAAATGCTCGGAACAATAATAACCGCTGATGGGAAACTGGACGGTTGTGATTAAATAGTATAAGATAAAATTAGTTTAATATGGTATAAGGTGGGGTCGGTTGGTGTGGATTCAGCACTAGTGGGATGCCATGTGTCGGAGGGTGTGTAAGAAAGTGGATTTCGTGTTGGGAAATGTGATGTTGATTAAATTTAAGATGAAGCCGGGGATTTTGGTAGGTGAAGATTTTGATTGAAATTTTAATAAAAAAAAAAAAAAAAAAAATAAAAAAAATTGGAAGATTTTGGTAACATGAAGAGTAAGAACAAAAATTGTGTTGTGGATGAGGCTTCCTGTTTGAACCTCATATTACGGCTGTTACAAACGAACTTATCCTCCTCTCCATCACTAATTTTGTTGTTGTCTCATATGCCTCTAATTATCCATAAACAAAGATTTTTTATTTTACAATTAAAATTAGTCCTGTAAAATTTGGACTGGGTATATTCTGGGTTTGGGTTTGGGTTTGTGTAATAATAAGACCAATTACTTCTTAGGAACTTAATGAAATTTCTTATGATTTGTTTTGTTGTTCTCTAATTTAAATAAGAGATATACATCTTGATTTTTCTATGTTCTCATTTCACTTATAATTGATTAGTTAACAAAAAATAAAGCAATTATTTAGAAATGCATTAAATTTTTGGTTTGATTTATTTGAATATGAGTTGAATGGAATTTTGACAGCCCAGAATCCGATTAATCTGGTGGTTGGCACATTTCTGCAAATAATTAGTTAGAATGAAACGGGCCTTCGTTACAGGAGCAGTATCAAATATAATGGACTTCCATCACACTTCCAACCCTTCCAGTATGATGGCAAAAGAGTTTTCTGTGCTATTTCTTATTCTATAGAATTAGACCCACCAAAATTGTTCATTTTTTTATTAAATATATATGCTGGCACATAAAATCATTTATGCAATGAAGAATTTAATTTATACCTTCATATTATTGCATAATCCAGTTGATGTTTATATTTGTTATAGTATTGTCAGCATCAATTCATCAGGCAGTTTCATTAGTTATATTACCCAGATTCTACTGCAATTGTTAGACCATGAAATGTAAGTTTAATTAATTAGTTAGAAAATCTAATAGAACATAATGCAAATCTTTTGGTGGAGTCTGCAATGCAGACGACTACTGAAATACCATCTAGTAAGATCGATGCTCCCATAATTGCTAGTAAATTATATTGATGAACCCATGCACGTTTGCCTTATCTCTTCGCTTAGCATTGATCAGAGTCTGTTTTTGTAATTAATTAATAACAATCTTCCCTTTCAATAGGGTGTTAGAAAATTACAACAATCAGAGAGACTTGGTCGACTTTGACAGATCGAGTTAGGTGGGTGCGTGGTTGTGAATTAACCAGAAAGAGAGAGAATAAGTAAAAAATAAGAGATAATGGACCGAAATGAATAGAAGCAAAAGAGAATTTTTAAAGAGATTCGACAGGTGATTTCAAAGCCACGTCCTGTTATGTTATTGCATTGGTGTTTTTCCCTTGATACAGATTACAAAGAATTCTTCTTCTCTCAAGGAGATATGTGTAGAAGAAAAAAGATCTCTCTGCCCAAGGGAGCTTGCATGAATGGAAAAGAGAGTGAGTCCGAGAGGCCCCTTGTTCGGATGGAAAGCTAGCTTATATAGGCTATAACAGTAGCAAATTCTAATTGAAGTTTAACTTGTTGTCAGCCTTTAACCTGTGGGACAATGTTTAACTTGAGAGGCAGTGCTTAAATTCAAGTGGTGCACAACGAGGTGACTCCTCGGGTTGTTTTCCTTCTTTTGAAATGGAAGTGCTTCCCTTCTGCGCTCCCATAGATAGTGGTTGGGAGTTGGTGATTATGAGGAATTTGCACCATAACTTCCTAATCTTTGAGTCAGCCTTTTATCCATACTTAAGCCAAAATGATCATTAGCATAGGGTAATTATAAGCCAAAACAACTATGCCTCAAATTGATGAACTTATTGGTTAAGTCACTTGCCATGGGAGTGATACGTGAGACAATCTTGTTGATCGGGTTTGGCTTGGTTAAAGGATAGGTGGCACGAATCTGACGGCCCAGAGAATTGTGAGACATTTTTCTAATTAGGCATTTCTATTATTAAAAGGTCACGTACCTTCAAAAGGTTTTGCTCATATTTAAAGGGTTTTTTAAAAGGTACATTCTCTAAAAGGTACAACAATCCATATAAGAAGTAAGGGCTCCGTTTGGTTCACAATGAGTGTTTTTGGGAAAAGTTTTTGAAAAAAGTAAAAAAAAAGTGAATTGGGCGGGTATTACGATGTAGGATTTATAAATTAATAAAATACCCCTATATTTGTTCTTTACAAACACCCTATAATAAAATTTAAAAGTTAACAAAAACACCCCCAACCCAATGTCAAATACGGACAGCGGCCACTACCGCCGGAGGGTGGCGGAGTTGCTGTAACAAAAACATTAAAAATATTTAGGGTATTTAATTGAATTAACAAATTTAGGGGTTTTAAAAAATGTTGAATAAAGTTGAAATATTATGAGTTTTTGGGTATTTTACTGTTTAACTTTTTTGGGAATACTAAAAGTAGTATTCCCAATTGGCAACCAAACGGAGCCAAGATTTTTTTGTAAAAGTACACAAAAAAAAAAAAATGCAATTCTAGTATAACCAAAACCTCTCAAGTCCGTTTCTGTTTTGTGCATAACACAAGCAGATTCTTATATATCCTAAAGAAATTCGTTGATCCTATTTTTACTATAAAGGGGCGAAATTCCTTTAGAAAGTGGCATTAATACAGCCTTGAGTTGGTAGTCACTATCCTGATTCTAACATAATCACACACAACACAATCAAGCAGAAAACGGTAGCAATGTTCCTATCAAATACTTTAACTTATATATTGTTGTAATGAACTGTTAAAATTGTTTCAGCAAATCAATTAATTAGCTGGTTTGGTATGAATTTATTGAGCCAGTATTATTAGATATTGATGATTGTTTCACTGTAATATGTGGTATTTCGGTGGTATTGTTGATGTGATAGAATAATACAATAAATGCTAAGTATGTTATAACTACCAATCTACGATTAAATAAAGATAAAGAAAAAAAATCAAATACGACTTAAACTGATTGGAGGATGGTATAGATGACGTACTATTCCATTATATTCTAGTTTTTCTCCTCATTTAATTGATTATAGCCCATCCATAGCTGAAACAAGATCATCTAGGTTCTCGGGAATAACTCTAATATCATTCCACACTATCTAATAAGAAAAAAAAAAATATATAAACAACATGTTCCCACCAAGGGTCAGCGGAAACCAAGTTATCACTTAGTTTCATAAATTTCATATTTTTACCCTTAAATAACAGAAAACGTTTAATTAACTAACAAAGTGTCATTCATACCACAATAAATCTGATATAAAAACAAAAATTTCAAAGCGAGCCTCCATACTTTAAATTTCTCTCAGAAGCACCCTCTCTCTAACATTTCTCTCATGGTGGCCAGACTTGGCCTTTGAGTGGGCCAAAAAGCAGCGGCCAAATGGCTGCTTCTTGGCCCTCGCGGTGGTCAGAATTTGGCCACTGCGTGAGGGCTTTGTGGCTGCAAAATCCAGCCACCACGAGGCCCTCATGCGACATCCAAAATCTAGCCACTGCGAGGGCCAAGAAGCAGTAGCAAAATTCTTGGCCCTCACGGTGGCTAGATTTTAGTAATTACAACTTGGGGTAGTGAGGGTTTTAGAGAGGGGATGCCGATGGATCAAAAGATGGTGTTAGGGTAGGTTTTTGTCACCGGAATTGGTCAAAAATCGGCAAGAAGCACGCGATTCCACTAAGCGGCGGTTGCGATTTGGCGGTGTAGAGGGGTGAAGATGATAGGGGTTTTGATGAGGGAGGTGAAGGGATGTGTTTGGTGGTGTCGAGGCATTCCAAAGACGTCAGAATGATGCCAATTTGGCCGGAAAACGACAATTGCAAGGCGGAGGAGGTCACAGGTGGCGATGCAAATCCAGTGCAATTGGGCCAAATTTTGGTCAAAAGGGGTGGGGGAGTTTGAACGGTGTTGGAAGAGTGAATCCTGCCGGGTTTGATGGATTTTTTGGCGAGGAAGCAACCAAAATGGCCATTCGAATTTATGAATCCACGGGTGGGTTTTGTCAAGGGCAATAGGATAATAACACTCGGGAAATGTTAAAGGTACAAAGACTCTTACAAAGAGTCTTTGTACAAAGTGATGTGGCAACTATTATACTACTAATTTTACATCAATCTTCTCTTTCTTTTCACAAATTAGTGGTGCAGCAATTGCCACGTCACTTTGTCCAAAGAGTTAATAGTCCTTCAACAAATATCATTTCTCATAACACTAGATTGATTATGACAGATGAGACAAGCAACAATTTACTTTCATTTAATATCCAAGCTTAAATTACACAACAGGCACGTGCAAAATAGAAGTTTCATGAGATGTGTCTGGTTTATTTACTCATCCAATGGTGTAGATTGCTTCCTCAGCAATCTTTCAACCATTATCATCATCATACCACATGTTTAAAAGTCGTAGTCATCGTCAATCATATTGCCTTGCCAAATTATTCAATCTGTGCTTTTCTCTAGCTCTGCCTCCGTTGACTCACCATCACCCTTCCTCAAAAGTAACCCAGAAAAATCGATAAAATAACCATCCATCTTATCAGCATTTAACCACATTCATCCTCAAATGGATCTACTCATCGATAAATGACCTAATTATTACGAGTTGTTTTCATCTTTTTTGGGAGGAAAAGATTATAGCTATACCAATTGCGTTATTAAGCATCGATCTACCCATGTTTTTGTGTGACAGCCATGGTCGACCCATCATGTGATTTTTCCTTTATCTGTCACAAGATATAGTTTTGCATATTAAACATGTGACTGAATAAACGTGTGGCTGAGAGATTATCTGCTTTTGTTTTATGACTTGAATAATATTAACAATGAAAACTTCAACCGACGTTCTCTTTTATATATATATATTTTTTTTTTGTTATCGATGTTGCCTAGTCAGTTTGTGCGTATTTTGACTAATCATTCAATTCTGAACAAGACTTCTGAAACATGACAAATCTTACGATCTGTGACCAACAATATTAACAAATATTCTTATGATTCGAACCTGAGATCATAGGGAAAGCAAAAACCCATGACCCCAAGTCTTTACCACTCGATTAACCCATTGTTGATTCTCTTTTATCGTTTCCCATATAAGACAGTGCATAATACGAGGAAATGTGCTTGGAGTTATCTTCCAAATTATTCATATGAATAAGAAGTTTGGTGCTAAAGTTGAAGGTTGGTAATCTCTGAATGCTAGTGCAATTGTCATCACGACACCTAACTTTGTGTTTCTCCATAAAAAAATATCCCTACTCTTCTTCTATTTAGGCACATGTCAATTAACACATAATTCAAAACAAGTGAAGATGTTGAAGTTGCTGCAATATTTCTCGACTTAGAACTTGGAACATAAAAAGAAAACCAAATTAAATTACTCATATATAGCATTTTCCCCATAACTTCAATGAGTTTTCAGCAATGATTTGCAATGGAGAGAAGGAACTCACCATGTGGTAACATGTTATATAGACAAAAGTTGATGATGGAAGTTTTAAAATTAATGAATGATGAAAATGCATGTGAAGACTTTATTTTTCCTTGTGGGAAGTGCAAGAGTTGAGATCACGTCGACCTAATTTCAATTTTGCATGGACATGTACTAAAATAGATATAGACGAAAAGCTAAGATGAAACGTACTAAATATATAAGCTAAGATGAGACGTGCTAATTATATCTGTTTTGTCTTTCTAACGTGTCGAGTTAGTATTGGTTTGGTTAGGTATTAATTGGATGGATATTAGTTTTCTTTATTGAGATTTGAGAATTTGTCAAAGTGCATTATCCCCATTTGCATGCATGCATGAAAATTACTTTCACGAAGACGAGTTATACTACAATCCCAAATGTTTTATCTTAAATGAAGTGACAATTTATTTGAATAATATCATCATATTAAAACTTAATATTGATGCACAATCATGGTTTGTGTTTTTCCAATGACATTAAAAGCTAAACGTTAATTAATTATTGTATTTACATATATTTATAAGTAGTACATGCAGTATATAATATTTATATGATTTATGAGAACCTATTACAAGCCAAATAACTAAATATACGGAACATACTAAGTTCGATCAAACTATATATCATAAATCCAACATTCATCCAGATTAGACATTGAAGCATGCATAACGCAAATCCTCAAAATCAATTAATCGCCATTAAGTAACCAGAGATCCTCCATGCTCCAATAGTTTTCATTCACTTCAGCAGGTAAAGGAGCCATTGGAAAAGCCTGGTGATCCTGCATACTTGGTTGGTATGAAGATGGAGAATAATTTTCTATTGTGTATGACATTTGGCTTGAACTAGCCTGCTCGTTTGCCTCTGAACATTGTGCAGAAAACGTTTCTCCCTGTTTAATATGCTTCTGGATTCTTGTTCTCCAGAAATTCTTTATTTCATTATCTGTCCTTCCAGGTAAATGCTTCGCAATCTTTGACCACCTATATCAAAAATCAATAGGCAAAAGGGATATTTCTAAGCATAATTATCAACTAAACTTGCTAATTGATAACTAGTTTCATAAAGCATCGAATCAAGCCTTTTCGACACGAGGATATGTATAAATTTCTCATGAAATGAGGAGTATTGAACAAAAGAATGATATTTGGAAATCTATTTATTTGTTTTTTATTTATATATATGGTCAATGATCAATTGACAACCAAATTGTTCTGAGTAGAAAATTTGTCATAAGCTCAAATATCTTCCTGGGATTGGGAACACCCTAAACAACAAGTGGCCGACCTTGTCCTGAAGTGCCCAAACAGAATGGTTTATGTCTACGTCAAACTAAAGTAAGAGCTTTTCTCTTCGACATGTGATCTATTTTAAATGGGTTCACCTCAGAAAAGAAACTTTCATCACCAATCTACCCTGGTGGGTGGCTGTAATACTAGGTATCCAGAACATTCGAATCCGTCCAAAATCATGAAATTTATTGCTATCTCTATGAAAAGAATTTATAGTTTTCCGTAGGAGAAAATATGTAAACCACAAATTTATCTAAATTTTTACAGCTATCCAACTTTTGCTATTATTGTGAAAAGTTACCATATCAAATATTATCCATAGATAAATCGAAAATAATCATTTTTTTATATGCATATGGTTAAAAGTGAAAATTAAATTGTATGGGGAGGCATAAAATCCTTCAATTACCTTAACCTCCAAGCAGTTCATCTCATCACCGAGCCATTAATCTCTCAGTAATATTCCAGGCACATGTCTTGAAACTTAATTTCCAAATTCATTTATTTTTTATGTTTCAAAAAATTAAAAAAAAAAAAAAAATCCGAAATATAACTTGGGCACCTTTTTAGTGTAATTGGTCTGTGAGGTTTTGATGGATCAATGGGGATGAAATCTACATGGAGGATAGGTCCACTGAAAATGATGTTATGTAGCCCCAGCTCCACCATGTAACACCGATTTAACTAAGAGACCGAGGCTGAAAGGAAAAGCATTTTACCTTTTAAAGGAAAAGTTTTCAACATCAATCCTTCTTTTATATATTTAATATAAATATATAATTAAACATATAATTCAAAATAATCAGAAGAGAATCTGGGATGTTTTTGTAGCTATTAGTACTCATGAAAAACATGTCTTGTGGAAGGATTATTGCTGACCTTAGCTTTCAAAAAAAAACCCCATGTGTCTAAAATGGCCATTTTCTATAGGTTAATTTGCTTAACACAAATTCTCTCTCTTTCATGGACTACTCAAAGGATACTCAAATAGGGACTCTGAGAAGTTTACTTTTCAATCAAAATAATATAAAAAACAAAGACTAAGACTAACGCTGAAGCTTTTTCTTAGTTGTGTTCCGTAATAAACTATCATATATCTATATATTATTTCCTTGAAAAGAACTCTCTATATTTGAAATTATCTCAAAAAATACTGACCTGTTTCCCCACTTAGCATGAAGTTCCATTATCAAGAGCTGTTCCTCTGGTGTTATATTCCCTCTCTTCACATCCGGTCGAAGATAGTTCAGCCACCGGAGACGGCAGCTTTTTCCAGTACGTTTCAGCCCTGACAATGTAATCAAAATAAGATAGCCTTGGTAATATATAGTTACGGTAATAAACAAGTAAAAATATATAAAAGAAATTAAAAGTTTGAAAAATTCTTTTCAATAATTTCTTGCATGCTAAATTTCCAAGATATATATGTATTAGTTGCCAAAAAAAAAGGTTACCGGCTGCTTTAGCAAGAGAGTTCCACACGCCTTCGCCATGGTTGGCGATATAGTTGATCAAAATCAAGTCTTCTTCCATGGTCCATGGCCCTTTTCTCACTTCAGCATCTTGAGAGTCACACGGTGTTTTATCCATCTTTTTTTCTTTTTTTCCAGAGAGAAAGAGAGAGAAAGAAGAGGAGAGAGGAAGAGGATAAGGATAATAAAATAATGGGGGTAGCTCCAGGATTTATAGAGAGAGTGTAAGATGATTATTAATATTAATTAACTTGCTAATCCACATTAAAAAAACAGGTTTTTAATTACCTAATTATCATTGTAATGACGATGAATGCATGGCATTATTATCACATATTATTTTTTAGGGTTAATACTCCATCTATATATGCCCTTTTCTTTACGTCCAACGCAACACAAACACACGCACTTATAGATATAAATAAGATATTGTATTAAAGAAAGAAAGAAATATTAAAACCAAAAAAATAAAAAATAATAATAATAATAAAAAAAAAGAGAGAGAAAATGAACGTTATTTTTATGTATTGCATCCTTGAGCTGAGAATAACATCATAATACGCAGGTGGACTTCAAAGCTGCTCTGCTTTTCCAAGGAGAATGTTTAACTTAACTTTTCTTCGAGTTAGTATATATTATCATCGAGCAATAATCATCTATTTAAGTAAAACTTTTAAAATAATTAAAAAAAAATGTTAATAATAATAATAACAAACGCAGGGAAAATTTCGAAAGGATAATTGAAGCCAAGGAGAATGACTTTTGATGATGATCCTGAAAGTGAGTTGACATAATCCAATTCATATAATTATAAATGATACCTTCTCACACACCTTGGTGTTGTTCAGAGAGAGTTTATGGCTCGCCCGTTATATCATGTTATCCAACAACAATCTGTACTAAAATGATCAATTTATTTATTTATTATTAGAATAGACGTAGAAGAAATAAATTAATATCAGTTATATTATTTCTTTCAGTTGTATTATATCAGCTGAGCTCAATGAAAAATCAAATCTTTAATGCTTGAGTATCCAAGACCATATAACTAATGATTTTGTCCATAAAAAACTTTAGATATATATTTTGATTATTGCACAAGATTATATATCTAGTCTTAATCAAACTAATGTTTAATTAAGTAGAGTAAACGACATATTCCCACCCAAGGTTTGGCGAATCTGCAAGTTCCGACCTCTGGTTTCATAAATTACAGATTACCACCCTTAAATTAACAGAAAACTGTTTAATCTAGCAGTTAAAAATGTAAAATGGTCATTTCAAAGATAAAAATTTTAAAATAACCCTTCATTTCTCAAATTCACCCCATCGAAAAATTTCAAAATAATCTTTCACTTCTCAAATTCATCCCACCGGCGATTTCAGGCCATTCCGGCACAATCGACCTCTCCCGACACCACCATTACAATCCCCTCAACCCCCACATCAAAACCCCTAACCTCCCCACCCAATTGAACCCCCCAATCGTCGGCCATCGCATCGAAAACCACCCGCAAGACCACCAATAGCATCGTCGGCTTCACCCCACCAAAACCCCCAATATCGCCAACGACAATCACCCACCGATAGTCGTCGCCTCTCCCTTAGGTTTTCGCGTTTTGTCGCCCATTTCTAGCCAAATTCCAACACCTCACCGAGGTGCAATCGAGTGGAAAAGTTAGGGGTTTCGGTGAGGAGGATAAGGGGATGCTAATGGTGGTGTCGGGGAGGTCCAATGGTCTCAAAAATCAAGCCGGATATTTGGCTTGATCGGGATCTCCTCTGGGTTTTATTTGAGAGAAATTTGAGATGTATGAGTTATTTTGAGAGAAAAGTAACGGTGTTAATTTAAGAGTGGGAATCTGCAATTTATGAAACCAGCGGTGGGACATTGGAGATTAGCCAAACCTTGGGGTGGGAAAATGTCGTTTACTCAATTAAGAGGTTCTCATTTACAAAATGCTTTAATATAAAAAGAGTATAAATAATGAGATCGGTTTAACTAAAATTATCATAAATCATAAGAAGAAGAGACGTATGCCGAACTATTTGAGCCTTAGCCAATTATCTACTCAAACTTCAATAGAAAGTCGTCTTCATTAATTTTCCCACCCCATACAACTACAAAATTTTACTCTATTTCAAAAGTTATATGGACTCTTTACTAATCTTAGTAACGTCATCGTTGTGGCTTTAGCTGTCAGTAGAATTGAATTGTTCTTACTTGTAAGAGATAAAAACCAAAAAAATATCGTCATTAATTTCCCGCAAATTAATTTAATGTACGATAACAAACATGGAAAAGCGAGGGCATGTGATGAAGAAGACAAAGAATGTGAAAAGGAGCCACACACTTGGGTTGGAGTTGGAGGTGTTTGATTTTGCTAGAAAAGACACATCCCAACCGAACCATATGAACAAAGTGTGGCTAATAATTTTTGGATTAACCTGTATCCAACTACAATATATAAAGTGCAGAGGCAGCCCTCCCATTTTAGGAATGAATTCACTTGATTGGTTTGATACATCTTTTTCCAATTTAAATTTATTATGACAAGAATATGTGCATAAATGGGATTTAATTTCGAACTTCATCTGTCAAATCATTAAACTTAATCACATTGCCGAACGTCGTTTTGCTTGGATCAAATTATGCATCACATTATCCTAATCTTCAGTTGACTTCCAAATTTTTAATTAACTTAGTACGGAAGTTTTTAGTGGTAAAATTTGGCAGTCCAATAAGGAATGTTTTCCTGTAAATAAGTGTTCCTAGTAGAACAAAACTATAAATTCCTTTTTTTTTTTCCTAAAAAAAAATCCGTGATGTTGACATAAATTTCGTCGTTTATCTACACTGATTCAATGATTAGATGCTCTATATAATCATCATATTATAATATAGATGAAATTAACAATGTCAGTTAAATTTTTTTTTTTTTTTTTTTTCACACACATGTTTACTAACTTTCGAAATCCTAGAACTATTGATCGGATAAAAGCTTTAGTAACTATCCCTATTACCATCCAAAGAAAGACTCGAATTCATGATTTCTTAAGTAATATCAAAAAATCTCTATCAAACTATTCGACGAACTAGAAATAGTTATATAAGTTAAAAGTTAAAATGACTCCATCCTAAGATTAAAAGAAAATCAAATATAAAACAACTTCAACTATTTTTCCCAAAAAAAAAAAAAAAAAAAAAATTAGAACTACTAGATTTTTTCACTTAAAAAAATCCAAATTACCTAAGAATAATTAGTATTCAAATACTTCTTCTGAAAATTTTCAAATTCCTTTTTAAAATAAAATAAAATATATAAAAAATGCGTATATAAAATATTTCGTTGGAAAATACCAACAAATAGATTATAACATGTTAATCTATTCCTCAGTAATAGCCACTCACTTCCACAAAAACACTACAAAGTACAAACTGAACGCTATATTGTGGAACAGAGGAAAAAACAGAGCCCCCTGAAACGCAGCATTAAATTTTGAGATCTTCAAACTGGGACTGTTAAATTTTTCTTCAGTTCATTCACTTCAAATTTTTATACTATTTTATAATTATCCATTTAATCCAATTTAATGGTAACAATAGCAACCATTGAATATTTAATGTACACATCAATCCGAACTAATTCAATGGTTAGCAACCACATAACACATTACAGAATATTTTAAGCTCCGGAATAGATACAGTAGCACCATAATAGATATGTTTATAGCTAAAGTCGCAATTACACAAGCCAATATTTCATATTCGGTTGATTTAACAACCATTCTGCCATTACAATATTGACTAAACAAAAGGGAAAACACCCTCTTTAGAACTAGATTTCATGACATAAATCTAATCGATGAATCAAATCTTGAAGAGCCTTGTGCCTGAAGAATAGTAGTAGTTTCAAACAGAAAAATCTCATATAACATTAGCATTTTGGAAGCCAGATATCATCCTACTTTTGTACAGACTTGTCTGACTGTTATAACAAGCTGTTCTCAAGGCAGCAACCAGACGGGATGCATCATTCTATGCTGTTACATATGGTAGCTTCAATATTGGTTCTAACTAAAATTCAGATCTCATACCTGTCTTCATCTTGCTCATGTGTTTGTCCTGCTAGCGATGTTGTTGGAAAGCCAATCTAACCCCTCATAAAGGCCCTCTCCGGAGGTTGCACATGTGCTCTGGATATACCTGTAATTGACCATCACATCATGTCAAACAGAATGTTTATAAATCACAAACAAATCTGATGGGACCTGGACAATGAGGGTGTAGGAAAAGTGAAATAAGGTAGCAAGTAGTGGATTGAGGGGATGTTGGCAGGAAACTTCCATAGGTTTAGGCTGGGACAGGTGGCAATTAGGGGTTGGGACAGCAAAGGAATTCAGTTAGGGAGAGAAAGAGAGAGCTGGAGGATAAAAAGAGAGGGAGAGAGCAGATTAAGGCAGAGAAGAATATAGGGAAATTTGGGAGGAGCTAACCCTTGAAGTTAGCAATTAGGGAGGAGCTGGCCCACTTTAAATTTCTTATGTACCAAACTACAATTATCTCAAGTCGGTTACAGTACTCCAGAATTTTTCATCATTTGTGTGGTTAACCAAATATGGCAGGGGATGGTAGTTTTATGTCCTCAGATGACCAGTAATTTCTGTTATGTTAATTGTCTGACATACTGTCCCGTTCACCTAACTGAATTCAAAAAAATCTGAATATTGAAGGCATGTTTCTAGTAAACATGTGGGAGAGTTTGACAAAGAGATTGACGAATATTCAAAACCAGAAGGCGTTTTACCAGTGCCGTTGGCGAAGAGAATGAAGACCAAGCTTCTCAGTTATTTCGGCTGCATTCATTGCATTAGGAAGATCTTGTTTGTTAGCAAATACAAGCAAAACAGCCTCTCTCAGTTCATCCTGAAACCAAAATAACAGTATATTGTGTTATAAACCCTTTAGGCAAAGAATTTTAAAAGTTTGATCCTTTTAGTGATACACAATAATCATTGTGCAGCTACATAGATTGGAGCTTATGGATTCTTAAAGCTGAAAATGCAGAAAGCTGATAGAACAAGCAATAAGATGCAGATAAAGGGATATGAGCTAACAAAACAATACTGTGACCAAAATGCAAGACCATGGATAACAGTGGGTCTGGCGTGAAAGAATCAGCTATATAACAGTCAAACCCCAAAGAGTGTGTAAAGGCAGGGCATCAGCACATAGCATATCAGGGGGGAGAAATTGCAACTCCAGTGAAGACCCACAAAAAATATCAAAAAGATGATTATTTCACGACATGAAGAAACTAGAATAACCAAAGCCAATGTATGAAAATTAAACCTTAAAAAGAGTACATAAGAAACCACAAATAGGAAGGACTGCAAGAAACCAACAATAAATATAAATCATCTGAAGTAATAGTAATAAAAATGTTGAGCGGTAAGTATTCAATAAAGGAACAGAACAAGAAAGTAACAGCTACCTGAGCAATATTAGAAGCCACCATAACATGAAACAAGGAAGAACTAGAAAGAATCAGAACATTCACCGAGATAATAAAATCGTTTGCATACCTCATTCAACATCCGGTGTAACTCATCCCTTGCCTCAACAACTCTATCCCTGTCATTGCTATCTACAACAAAAATAAGGCCTTGAGTATTCTGGAAATAGTGCCTCCACAATGGACGGATCTGCATTTATGGAAAATATGGATTGCATCAAGCACTTCAATTAAAATAAAAAATAATTCAAATAACAAGTAATAAAATATCCATCATAATATGGTGTCACATGTTGTAGCAAAAACTTACACCAATTTTGCACTGCACGGAATTAGAAAGTGAAACAGAAAGCATTCTATGAAATAAAAGTTTGTGATTTTAATGGTTAAGTAAAAATAATTCTTTTATTGGAAAGATCTCTTCGTGGGGGTACTCTCAATAGGCACATATTACTCAATAAGCACAGTACCTTTGTATCGTAACAGTTTACTTCAAATGCAAGAGAAAGGATTCCCCTAATCTCTAATAACCATAATAGAATATCATGTATTTTTCAGCTATATAAACCCAAACTGTGACTCTTCATGAGAAAACCTGTGTTTATATCCATGAACTGGATAAGATATGAGGCAAAATTATGAAAAAGGAAAAGGCATAAGCACTTCAACATATGCTGGATAGATTAACCTAGCTTTCTAAATCATTCTATCATTACATTTTCTGAGATATTTATACCTTATCCTGACCACCAACGTCCCACACAGTGAAGCTGATGTTCTTGTATTCCACTGTCTCCACGTTAAATCCTGCAACCAACAATTCCTTGCCAATTAAAATCAAACATCAAACATATAATTATTTTGTCTCCTTATATATACTGCTAATATATGGATAAAATTATGAAACAGGATCCAACTGGGAAATTAATTTCACCATCAAACTCCACTTTCTGCGAGATTAAGACCACCAAAAATCAGTTCAACCAACCCAAAGTACATCACTCAAAGCAACTACTCATTAAAAAAAAGGAAGCTAATTTTCCTTCATCAATTATGGAAAAAGTACTATCTCAAATTGAAAATAACACCTGGAACATGCAAGTACAAACAAATCCCTTGACACCACTATTATTTTTACCAGAATTAGCCATTTGCGTAGTGTTTAAACTTCATGATGACATATAAATTTTTATATGAATTCAGAAATCAGAATACAGACCAACATCTAAATTCTGAAATGAATATGCAGAGCTGGACATGGAATCTATTCGATAAATTCATTGGAATTTATTCAAATCAACTCAAGCAAATACATCTGAACCCACAATTCAATTATAAAAAAGAAAATATTCCTATATACACATCGCTAAGAGAAATGTAAACATAATCAAGGTATTAAATAACCACAAAAAGTGAAAAAAGAAAATTCCATGGCCTTGAGTTAGGGTAAGAAACCTTCAAACCCCACTACTTCTCCAAAATTCTCTATTAAAATTTCCGAAAAATCGCCACATATCTCCCTTAAAAATCAAAAGAGACCTCCCCTGCGGAAAGGTCTCTGTCCCTAATTCCTAACCAAAAGTATTCGCCTGCAATAAGACCAAAATTTATAGGAGGCAAATAAAATTTACCCAAAAGAATCCGGCATAAAAGGCATTGATCACATAAATCAGTAAGTTAGAACCAGAAAATCACAATGTATAAAAAAAAGGCATCTGAAAGTACCAATGGTAGGGATGGTAGTGACAATCTCTCCAAGCTTAAGCTTATACAAAATGGTGGTTTTACCGGCTGCGTCAAGACCCACCATCAGAATTCGCATCTCCTTCTTAGCAAAAAGACGACTAAACAGCTTTGTGAAACTCAACCCCATCTTTGCTTTCTCTCTAGCTCACCTGTGGACGAAACCAAAATCAACAAATGTTCTTGAATATTACAATCAACAGACAAACGGGATCTATCTACCTGTGAAAAATATTTGGTAATTCTCAAAAAACGGAAGGCCTCAATCAATTCAAATATAATCTATTCTTATTCCCGTCTTTGTTTATTTAGTGGTCTCCAATTCCGTGGTGAACTTAATCTGAACCACCGAAACTCCTGCTAAAAATAATAATAATATTTATTAATATTTAATTAATTTTTTAAATAATTTTATTAAGGATGAATTGTGGTGAATATGTATCAATCCTAATAATAGAATGGATTGTAAATTAACACATTCTCATGACTCTAAAATAACGTCTCAGGATTTGGATTTTGAATGTTAAATCAAATTTAGTTCTGTTTGTTGGATAGATTGATTGAAAGATGGATTTGAATTTCAGTTTTGAGACACCCTACTATTTATAAATAGATTGTGGTAATTGTTAAAATTTGGGTTCATGATTGTTATACCTGAAAAGTTAGGGCTGACGTGGACTCTCATCAGCAAGAGCCAATCAGGGTTCATAAAGGTTTTGTGTCGTCCAGGCGCTGCCATGTCGCGTAGTGATGAAAGAGGTATGGTTCTTGTCAGTGCAGCAGGTGAGTGCCACACTTGTGAGTGGTTAGGGATTATCCACCTACCCGAGCCCTACGTAATTTGAGGATATTTCTCGTGCAGATAACCAATGGGACGCAAAGAAGGATTTGCACGGCACCTACCAATTTGCAGACTTGTAATCATTACCTTGATTCTCCCACTATAAATAGAGGACACCTCTCTTATTTACGGGATTGACTAATTTTAGTCTAAAATAGCTTCCACATTCTCTCTCTCTTTTTGTATTCTCTCTATATTATAACTCAGCTCGCCGCGCGTGACCTGATTTTACCCATCTATTAATACAATAACAGTGGACGTAGGATTCGCTATTGAGCATCTGAACCACTTCAAATATCGCTTCTTATTCATTGTTTCATTTCATGTTTTCTTATCACGTGTGATTTCTAAGTCTGCTTAGCACTTTGCACGTGTGAGTCGTTGGTGTCAAAATCAAGCATCAACAGTTTGGCGCTAAAAGGAGGGCTTGATTTAGTATCCGTTTGTAACATCCACTTTGAGGTACATCTTTGATTCATGTTCATTTGCCTTTTAAATGTTGTTTGTTGGCCCTAAATTTACTTGATATGTGTTATTGTTGTTGGGTTGCCCTTGTTTAAGTTTGTAAGTTGTTAGAATTGCTTGGATGTCCTGAATTTGGTGAAGTCTTGGCGGATTTTGGGAAATGCAAACTTCGCCGCGGCGATGTAGGCTCTGTATTTTTTCGCTGGGGCGAAGATCTGGCTGATTTTCTTTGTGAAGTTTCTAGAGAATTTTTCATAAGGGTAAAGTGACCATTCTACCCCTATTTAGCAGGAAAAGTAGAGAGTGAAATGTAAGAAAATTTCCTTGAGAATATTTTGGAATGGGGTGAATTTGTAAAGAATTAAAGGATAAGGATGAAATTTTCAAGAAAGTGTAGGGGCAAAATGGGAAAGAAGGCTTAGTTATATGAGATATTAAGGGTTCAAGCACACAAACCCTCTCATTTGCTTTATCCCACACGCCACCTCTACTCCCAAATTCTCTCATCTTTCCATCAATTGTCTAAGGTTGATTTGAGAGCTTTTGGTTAGATTTCTATAAGGATTTGATCCTAAGCATCAAGAGGTAAGGATTCTTGTTCTCTTTGAGATTAATTTAAGTTTGTAGGAATTCTTATGAAGTTTATGCTTAGGATTTGAGAGAAGAATCAAGTCCAACAAAGATAAAGAGCTTCTAGTGGAGAAACTCAAGCAAATGTAAGTAAATCCAACCTAAGTTAAGATTTAAGCAACTAAATGATTTGGTATGCATGTTTATGCTTATGAGTTTGAAATTGATTGTGAGAATGTTGATGATGATGAGTAGATGACTCTTGATAAGTAGAATTGAGCCATGAGAAGAAGAGTTGAGATTGTGGTGACCAAGTGAAGTTTGGTTGCATGTAGAAAGAAATTGAGTAGAATCTTTGAAGTGTTTTTCGTGGCCATGTTTAGATTTATTGTGGAGGTGTTTTGTTCCATGAATGGATGGTTTAAGAAAGAAGTAGAGATTTACCAAAGATAGAATTAAAGTATGCATGCATGATGTTTGATGAAATGCCTAAGAGAAGCTTGTGTATAAGTAGAGAAACTTATTTTTGTGCAATATAGCATAATTGCATTGCATAATTACACTTAAGAAAGAAACATAAGCATGAGCCATGCACATGCATCTAATGCATATGCATAAGAACTTAAAGAAAGAATAAAGAATGTATAATAACAAAGAAAAAGGAAAAAAAGCATTAAAGAATTAAAGAAAGAAAAGTGCTAAAGAAGAGAAAAGAATAGGTTGTTGCGATGGGGAACCCGTGGGTGCTAAGAAGAATTTCTCACATACACGTTGCCTTAAGTGAGCGGCACAAGCAGAAGAAGAATTTGTACGACCCGTAAGAGTGTATGTGGATGAGGGTTATACCAAGAAGAATTCCTACACGCACGCCACCTTAATTGAGTGGCCTAAGAAGAAAGAAAGAATTTGTACAGTTCGCAAGAGTGCATGTAGATGAGGACTGTACTCACTCACACGGCCAGGGTTCCAAATCCGTGCATCAACCAAGTCCGATCAGCAAAGAATAAGAATAAGAATAAGAAAAAGAAAAAGAATAAGAATGAGAAAGCTTGAGCATACAAGAAAAGAAAAGAAAAGAAAAGAAGAGCTTGAGCAAGAAAGAAAAGAAAAGAAAAGAAAAGAAACAGAATAAGATATAGAAAAGAAGAAAGAAAATGCATTTCTATGCATTGTTGCATGTGCATTGCATTCATGCATGTTACCATGATTGGTTAGTAAGAATAGAAAGAAGAGAAAGAAAGAGTAAAAAGCATAGAAAGAACAGGAAGAAAGCATAGAAAGAATAGAAAGAAAGCACAGAGAGAAAGAAAGAACAGAAAAAATGAGAAAGAAAGAAAAGAACAGTGAGAACTAGAAACAAAGAAAGAAAAGAGCAAGAACTAAGAAAGAATGAAGAAGAAAAGAATTAAGTAAGGAAAGAATCAAGAGAAAGGTGCGTGGATAGAAGAGAAGAGGATTTACTTATTGAGCATTTTTATGCTCACCCCGTTGTTTTTCCATGTTTTACAGGAAATAGGTGAGAAGCGGTCGGATGGACGTCAAAAAGCGGAGAGAAATGGCATCACTGTCCACCATTGCTATAGTTTTTGTACATGTTATATTGGTATAAGTAAAGAATTATATTTTATAAGTAAAGAAAAATTTGGGCCTAACTACTTTTCATATGCTAAGTATGTATGTTTTCATCGTATTATTTCTAAAGTATACTAGTAGAAAGAAGTCATTACACTGCTCTTCATCAGAAATCTCTGACTAATTGGTCATACCAATCAGCAAATGGCTCGTAGTTTCGAACTTGAGTGAACCGACTATGACAATAAGGAAATCCCCTAGGTACAAGAGGACACTTCCCCAAAGTGCCACCAGTTCAACAGAGTATCGTAACGAATATTCCTTCAAGCTCACGGCTCGACCCAACCGTCAAGAGTTACCTAGAGAGGTTCAATAATACTCTCCAAATGGTTACACAAAGGCTAGACCGTTTGGATCGGGTTGTGCCACCAGAATCCAATAAGGCGGTGCCACTGCCAAAAACGCCTATAGATCGCGTGAAAGCGTGGAAAAGGGCTAAAGCTCATACTGTGCGCATTGCAGTGTGCCAAAGAAGGGGAAAGCAAGTGGCAAACAATGAACCAGAGGGCTCCTAGGAACTAGCGAACACCAGTTGCACAACAGGTAGAATACCCGTGGCACTACGACTCAGCGACATGTCACAACATGGACCGTCCCACGCCACGTCGCATGGGCACTCCCACAAAAGTGAAAAGAGGGGAGACTCCTAGTATCGCTGAAATAACGACCTCAACCATTGTCATGCGGGAAATCCCCGTCATCCGCAGGTCGGTTCGGACCACCGTGGAGATCGGGAAAATTCTCTGAATCACTCAATGCCATTACACGGCTCTAGCCAACGTGTGTCAAGATTTGTCGGAGCTTCCAACTGAGTCGAAGAAGAGCCCGATTTGCAGTCTTTTCTCAACCGCAACGGTGAGGGTCGAACCCACGTTGCGGAAAGTGATCCCCAAGCAGCTTCACTGTCTCAGATTGAGGAACTATAGTGAGCGTTGGATCAGCTTAAGGCTCAGTAGAATGAGCGTGGGAAGGTCGTAGAGGCATCTCCCTTTTCTCTAGCAATGTTAGCTGCTTCTCTCCCATCAAGATTCAAAATGCCTGACATGTGGGCATTCAATGGGAACTTAGACCCGTAGGATCACCTGTACGAGTTCAACGACCTCATGAAACTCCACAAAGTCTCTGACTTGGCCAAATATTTTTGCTTAGTAATAACCTTGACTGCCCATGCCAAATGCTGGTTTAGGTCGCTTCCCGCGGGATCAGTCAGCTCATGGCCTCAAATGAGCTCGTCGTTCTTGAGACACTTCCAGGCGAACAGGAAGTTCTCATTGCTGTTGAGCTACCTGAGCAATATGCAACATACGACAAGAGAGGGATGGATCCCTCCAATCTTACATAGACAGATTCCACAAGGAACTCCACAAAGTGGCTCATACTCCCAAAGAGTCCGTTCGGACTCTCATTATCGCGGGAGTTCACCCGTAGACAGATTTGTGGAAGGAACTATAATCCGAGGATGATGTTTCCCTCACTCGCTTCTACAACCTCACCGAAAAATACATTCGAATTAAAAATTTCGTGGCCGCTCTTAATTGCCACGACCCCGATTCCTCGAGTAGTGCTCCCAACCAGAGGGAGAATATGAGGACTGATTGTAGATGGGCTAATGACAATCAGTGGAAAGGAAAGAAATAGCGGTTTGAGCCTAAGAAATCTTATGCCCCTGTTCCTTGTCGCGATCGCGACAAGAATCAATACACTCATCTGAACGCCTCAGTATCGACTATTCTATATAAGTTAGAGGAGACCAACTTGCTTGGA